TCCACACTCCCCACCTCCAGCTCACCTCCGACTCAGTGACTCAGTCCCCGCGCATCACACCCTGAGTTCCGAGCCAGCGGCCAAAGCCGCCTCTCAGTGATCACCAACGACTTCCCAAATTACAAGTCCAAACTCTCTTTTTCTTCCCCAAGCCTTACTACTACTTCATTCCTCTGATCAACCCTCAACTGTTGTTTCCTTTACAGAGATTTTCAATTACGTATGTGGCCTAGGCCATTGGACGTCACTTGCGCAAGGTCGCCCACAGGCAGCAAGTTACAGAGGTGACACAGACAGGCTTGTCACCAGGACCCAGGCTCAACCACTCCTTTGAACTGCTTCTCAAAAATGAGCCAAAGCCTATTCCGTGGGAGGACTCTACCCCCACCCTTCTTACTAACAATGCGACCGTCTGACGCAGGGTTCAGCAAAGCATGAGGCGGGGCCGAGGCCAGCCCGTTGCCTATTTCTGTAAAGAAAGTTTTCCTGGAGGCCAGTCACACTCATTCCCTTACGTGCTGTCCAGGGCTGCTTCTCACTATGATGGCCAATGGATCACAGGGACCTAGATTGTACGGTCTTCAAAGCCTAACATTTTTATTATCTAGCCCTTTCCAGAAAAAGTTTGCCAATCTTTATTCTAACCAACTGTCTTTTAGGTTCATCATTTGTACATTTGAGGACAGTAATGAACTCATGTATCTTCCGTGAGAATTCAGGAAGATGTCATATCTGGAATAGTCTAATGTGGGCAGGCACCCCAAAACGGGAACTGCGGTCTACTTCAGGCTCTGCACATCAGCATTTATTTGGGAGGGAAAAAACCCCACCCCTGCTGTATCTCACCATCCTGTCACTTTGTCCTTGGCGTTTTTTGCTCCCCGTGCCCACACCCCAGAGAAGAGGCAAATGTCTCCTGTTACAGTCACTCTCCACAGCGCATTCCAGGAGCCGTTCGTTTCTGTGAATAGCTCCGCCGTTCTCCCTACAACCAGGCGCGGGTCTCGGGAACCATCTTGAATGTCTCCACTCTTCTCCTGCGCATCTGTGAAGTCCTATTCATTCAACCTACACAATAGCATCCACACCACCCGCTCCTGCCCGTTTCCCTGGCCAACTCCTAGCCCAGTCCCCACTACGTCTCACTCTGTCATCCCAGCAGCCTCATAGTTCGTTCCTGACATCAGTGTGTGTGTCCTGCACACAACGGTCAGGCCTGGCAAAATAATTCTTAAAACAAACATATCCTTTTAAGACTATACAATAGTTATTCTAGTGGATCGGAAATAACATTTCATTATGGTTTTAATGTGCATTTCCCTGATGTCTAACAATACTGAATGTTTTTTCATGTGCTTATTGGCCATTTGTATATCCTCGTTTCTGAGATATAAATTTATGCTCTTTGAAAACTTGAAGTATTAGGTTGTTCATCTTTTAATTATTGGTTTATTGAACTATTTCATATACTCATGATACAAAATCATCCGTTGTATGTGTTGCTAATTTCCTTTACCAGTCTGTGGCTCACTTTTTCATTTTACTAATGATGTCTTTGATGAATAAAAGTTTTTAACTTTGATGAAATTAAAATGAAAACAATGCAATACTGTGTCATGACTCATTGTGTTAAGTCCTCAGCTTTGCATTCAGGCTGATCATGCAACATGACTCCAATGATCACCTCCGAACTAACTTCATACTAACTTTCTCGGGTACTTATTATGCTTCACACACTACACTAAGCACTGAAAATAAAAAAAAATTAGAACTCACCTCCGGTCCTCTAGAAGCTCAGAATCTAACAGGGAAGACATGCATGAAGAGAAAAAGTAATACTCCATACAAAGTGAGGTGTTTTAGGAAAGGTCTGAGCAGGCAGGTAACAGATATTTTATATTGCTAGTTATGTTTATTATAGCTTTGCAAACAAAAATAGAGAATTTACAGCCTTTTGACTTCTCTCGTGTATGAGCACGAGAGAACGCAAGAGAGCTCGCTCTGCCCCAGGGGACAAGGGGAAGTCGGCTGGAAAGGCTTCACTATCCTCAAAAGGGGAGGAACCACAGCAAGAGCGGAGAGGGAAGAGAAAGATAGGGTATAAGACAAAGGCTCCTACCACTCCTCAACCTTTTCCCCCAAAGCAGTGGTTTTAAAGCAGAGGTAATTTTTTCCTCAGGGGGGCATTTAGCAACATAAAGAAACATCTTTGACAGTCACAACTGGGGAGAAAAGATACTGCTGGCGCATAGTGGGTAGAGGACATCCTATATTACACAGGACAGCCCTCCACAACAAAGAACTATGCAGTCCAAATGCCAATACAGTTCTCAAGTTGAGCAACCCTGGGCCAGAGCCATAAGGGACTGGAGTACAAGAGAGGACACAGTTGAGATAATTACAGAATGAGTTGGAATATTGATGATACAGAGATGGTGAAGAAGGAGAATGAGTTATAAGGAGAAGGTCCAGACAACCTCGCTCAAAAAACCAAAGAGGAGAAAGCAAAACTGGGCAAAGGGCAAAAGTTATTAATAAATGCTCCATGTGTCATGCTCATGAACAGGGGTAGATCTGATTGTCGAGTCAAGGCAGTTCACTGTGCAGGAACGGAGAAGACAGGGGAGAAGGGGCTGAAGCAGAAGTGAGCCACACTTCCTGTTACACATCATCCAGTTTAGTGCAGGCTTACTACACATCTGCTACTAGATGTCATGGGAAAAACAGAGAGATAAATAAATCATAACCCCTGCCTGCAAGAAGGCTGGATGTCAGTGGGGAGGATTAGGTAAGTACATAGTTCTTACAATAAAAGCAAAACTAAGATACACGTCCTAGGAGATACACACGGGGGTTCAAATACACACGTCTTGCAAAGACTCAATGAAGTACAAAGGACAATTCTACTTATTATCTTCTTGTTCTTCCAGTAAAAGAAAGAAGTCAAAAGGCTGTAAATTCTCTATTTTTGTTTGCAAAGCTATAATAAACATAACTAGCAATATAAAATATCTGTTACTTCTAAATAGCCCAGTTGCTAACGATATCCTAACAAGGACAAAGCAGGACACGTCTATAGAGTCTTCCTATAGAGATTTGACTTTCCACTAAGCAACCCATGAAAAAATTAGTTCCAATATCCTAGAGTAAGTCCTGCACTAAGAAGCTCTTAGTTTTTTGCTTGCTTTTTTGTTTTTAACTTTGGGTGGGTTTTATTTCTCCTAAGGTTAGGAAACCATCCAGAGGACAGCTCTTTAAATAGTCCCCTCTGAAGGAGCCTCAAATTCAACATGAGAAAATAGTTAGAGAAATCCCTAATGGTCCGGCCAACATACATTTTTCATAAAGTGATTATCCTCCTGCAGCCTCAGCTCCCTAAGCCTTTTCCCCCTCCTATAATTGTTTTCCTTGTAGGCCAGGCAACAATTACCACTGCTACAAGACTGAGGAGGTTCACAAGCAATATATTTTACAATACATAAGTGTAGTGTCTCTGATATCTGGTGCTTTTATCACTAATTGCACTATAAAATGCGCTATTAAAACAGGGACAAACAAGATTGTAAAAATCACATAATGGACTGTGACCACTTACAAAAGCCATTCATAAATGCTACCGGACCACTTCTTTTTCTTTAATTTTCCAGGCATATAGTTATTTTTCAAATAATTTACTTCCAAGGGATACCAACAAGAAAAAGAATCTATTTGGAAATTACATATCATACATGCTTGCCCTTAAATATACTATTTCATAAATTTTCTCAAAAGTTAAATTATATATGACATAAATGTGCTATGAACACTGAATCCCTAGGCACATTTACAGGAGCTCTTGAAAAAAAGCTATAGGCGTGGTGAATGCATTTAGGCTGTGATTTCTACTCAAACTTTAGAGCAGGGGACTGAAGACATGAAAAAAAGCACAGAAGGATTGCATAATTCCAATCTATGAGACATACAATGAAACAAAGCCAATAAGACATTTACATCCATGGAAAGAACAGAATGACCAAATATGACTGCCAGTCACCGGAGGACTTAGGTCAATGGAGCTGCCTACAGTACGTCATACGTCATTAGTACTCACTAATTCAGGGGCAGATTCTCAAGTTTGCACATAAGCATTTCAGCCTCTTCCCTATTTATTCATATGTGAAGCCATTAAAAAAAAAAAAGGAATTAGGAACATGATGGAATGAAAATAAAAGTATTTGTTACCCTTTAGTAACTGTAATGAATACTTAAATTGAAATAGAAATTTTAGGTAGTGACTCATGAAATATTGGGATTGTCTCTCAGTTTCATTTATCTATCACCAGAGACAAACTAGTTCTAATTATACCACAGAATACAAACACCACAAACCAAATAGTGGCGAGCTCCCTACAAAACTAAAGATAAGTAACCAATTAATGAATTGGGATGGTCTGTTCTTTAAGTAGGATAATTTTCTTTTAGCTGAAAAAGAAACAGATGCTTTGATTTTAAGCACCAGCAAGGAATGTATGACCGGGCTTGGGTCTCACTTAAAAATGCCATCATGGGTACAGCTCCACCGGACTGAATCTCCAATGTGTTCTTCGACCCTTACATGGCCCAATTTTACTTAAATCAGAACTACTTTTAAAACCAGTTGATAAGCCACAATTGCAGACATCTTAATTGTGTACCTAAATTACTACGTTTTTCTCCTGGAGCTATTAGCTAGTGCTCAATCTTTCAAAAGGAAAGCTGTCAGAAAGTCAAAAAGACAGATTATGTATAAAATAGTTGCTCTCATTTCAGGAACTGAAGTCACTTAATTCAGCAGCAATCCTGTTAAATGATGTCTAATGGTAAGAATATAATTTCCTTTTTCAAATGCCAAGTACTTGTAATCCTTATGTTGGCTAAACCTAAAGAACAATGAGAAGCTTATTTTCCACTGGCTGTCATCGGCCAAAATTCTTCCCTAAGACACGACAAAGCTATGGCACCAAATAAAGTTCAAAACTCACTTTGTCAGATGCCTCAGACGCCAAGAGATTCGTTGCGAGGGTTTGCAGCTTATGATGGGCCATGTTTTTCAGAGCCGCAAGGCTGCGTCTTGTCATGGCTTGCTTCAGATTGACTGCGGGGTGACTGAGCGAATCGACGGCTGCGGGAACCGCTTCGTCACAAGCACTCAGTATCTCCACGGCCGTTATGCCCATCACGCAGCGATCCAATGCGCCTGCAAGATGGATATGCGCAAATATTACGCGCGCCATAGAATTTTAAATGGTTTAAGACGACCAATGCGAGGACATTTTGTAGTGCAGAAATCTGTTTCAACAGTGCCTCCCAGAGACATTTTCTTATACTTCCCTCCTCTAATGATCTCCCATGTAGCATTACCTTTATCATTTCCTCTCACATAAGGGCCCTACTGCAACTCCCCAACAAAGTCAAGTTCAGAGCCAAGATTTTAATGACTTCCCCAGGCTTTTCCACTTTCCTTCTGCTTCCAAGATGGTCTCCTTGATCAATCCTCACCATTACTCCATTACAAACATCAAATTCTATGACTTTACCTTCCTCTTAAGTTGTAATTATCTTTAACCAAAAAAAGTAAGTTTTGCTATTTTTCCAGTTTATTCTACTTGAACAATTCCTGAAGCTTTTCTTTCTCTGGGATGTCTCCACAAAACAAGGGAAAAAAATGATAGCTTCTCTATCAGAAAATTTCTTGACTCTTAGTCTTAACACCCATTCAAATGTTTTTTTCAGTGTGTTTGTGAGAATAACTACTACTTCAGCTTGTAGCCACTCAAAGCTTCTTCATGTGGCCCTACTTGCCATTTATCTCCATCTATGCACTCATGTCTACTCAATGTGAGGATGTGAAGTCCTTCTTGTAAAGTAGAGGGCCTTTCTGTAAACTCAGGTATGTCTAGTACACAGCATCGCATTAGGCAGAGAAAGTTCTCATTGTAAGGGGTCTGTATATAATTTTTTGAAGATTACAATAATGACAATAAAATGATAATGGAGTTTATTCTGTTTCCTTGAGCATTGTTCCAGAACCATTCTAAAAGAGGATGCATCCATTTTGAAAAATAACCACAGAGAACACCAGAAACTTACACATCAACAAAATACAAAAATTTTACTGTGTTTTTGAGCTAGTGCCCAAACACCCAAACACGTGTAGTCTTCCCAACACTGAATGGTTATACACACGCCAGTCACACTTGTCCCCCATTCCTTTAAGGCTTAAATTCCTGACTCGCTGTCCTCTTTCCAGTAGTTCTCCCAGAATAATTCTTGGTGATTTCGGTATTAACATAAATCAGTTTGTTGAGCGTTGACCAATATATTTTGGAAGGCAAAACAAAAGAAGAAATTGTTACCTGAAACTTTTGTGTATGCATGATAAGGAGAGTATGTATATGCTAATGAGATTTCAATAACGTTCAAAGGATAATAATCATACAAAAAGATATCAACCTCACTAACAAAGAAATACAAATTGAAGCAGCAATGAAATATCATTTATGTCTTACCATGATAGACATTCAGCATTCTTAAGGGTATGAGGAAACTAGTAAAATACTTTTAGTGTGACTAAAAATTATCAACTCTTTTCTTGAAAAATTCTAATAAATTTAAAATTCACATTTACACAGCAATTCTCATTCTAAGATTTATACTAAATAAACATACCATATAATACAAATTTACATATATGCTATCAGTAACTATGTATATACTATGTATAGATGTATACATCTATATATACACAGACATAGTTACTGATTGTCTTATTTGTAAATTTAAAAAAATTGAAAAAAGTAATTATCTCTAGTATACAGGTACAGTGAATTATGATATATTCACTAAAAGGAATGCTATAAAGTTGTTATGAAACCAACAACAACAAAAAGAAGCTCAGAGTGATATTTAGTTTTGTGTCAACTTCGCTGGGCCAGAACCTAGATATTTGTTCAAATATTTTTCTGAATTTTTCTTTGAAGTTGTTTTAGATGAGATTATATTTCAATGGGTGGTCTCTGGGTAAAGCAGATTACCCTCCATAATGTGAGTAGGTGTCAGCCAATCAGGTGAAGGCTTGAAGAGAACAAAAGACTGACCTTCCTCAAGTAAGACACGGAATAGAAACTATTTAAAATGAAACAGTGAAAAAAAAAACAAATTCAAGGAGCCTTATGAACAGATAAGTGGGGTCTCCAAAGAAAGGAAAGAGAAGGGAGGATCAAAAACATATTTGAATAAATAATAGCCAACAGTTTACAAATTTGTTGAAAAGTGTATAATCACAAATCCAAGAAGCACAACAAACTCTAAGCACAAGAATAATGGAGAAAACTACAATCAAAAATGCTCAAAACCAGTAATAAAGAGAAAACTTGTAAAACAACTAGAAAACAAAGCAGATGTAACATATACGAAGGGAAAAAATAAGGGAGATTTCTCACTGGAAATAATACAAGAAGATAGAGCATAAAAGAGAAGAATGTCAATCTACATTTCTATACCCAGAAAAAAAATCTTTAAAATTAAGATGAAATAGTGTTTCAAACATCCAGAAGCTGAAAGAATTCATTGCTCATAGACCTGCACTACAAGAAATATTTAATATTGGGCAACAGGAGTGAAAACTGCATGGGTAAGTAACATTTTGTTTTTATTATTCAGATTTCCTTGCTACATAATAAGACTATTTAAACAAATATGCAAACAGAATGAATAATGTTCTAAATGAGTAAAAGCCATGAGCAACAATACAGAAATACAAAAGACCAGAAGTGTTACAGAGTGGCCCAATCATTCTGGACTGGAATTATCCTTTACACAAAGCCCATGGTCTGTGTGAATGAATAGTAGGAGATAAAGACAAAGATAGGAGGGTACCGCACAGTAGAGGACCTTGTCTTAAAAGCTGTATGGACTAAAATTTTGGAGTTGTTTTTTTTTTTCATTAAGACAGTGGCATAAACCAAGTGTTGTGGTTTCATTTGCTAAAGTCAATTTGCCAGCAGTTTAAGGATGGATTAGAAGAAGAAATAGAAGACAAAGATACCAATAAAGACAGGGCTCTATTTTTTTTTTTTTTACCTCCTATGATAAGTTAGAATGATACACAGGAAATAAAGAAGGAAGGGTAGGGGTACCTAATGGGAAGGACTTAGTAATTAATTACACAGAAGTCTTGTAAGGGGAGGGTGTAGGTGGTAGAGAGAGTCGTATTTCTACGCTAACAACTTCTTCCTTCAAAATTCCAGAGTGAATCGTCCAAAGGGTTGGGAAAACATTGCCCTGATTATACTTGGTTTTACCAAGGTTTTAGAAAAGTACCATTTTTTAATGTTTTTGGTTATCCATGCTTTACATACCCTTTTAAATAGACATAAACATACATTAATTCATAACTCTGTGCTACCTGTTATTACATAATAAAGTTTAAATGATGAACAAATGTATATTTATGAAATAAATGTAAAAACAAATATTTTCAAAAACCTAGAGGGGCAGAGAATAAATTTTAAAAAATGGTAACAGAACAAAGTAATCTGACAAGACTTCATACACTAACTTCTAATGATAGTTGGCAAGGGCTCTTGGTGTTTGCATTTGTACGGAAACTCCTCATAACTGTCCCTACAGAAAATGGCTTATGATGTGAGAGTCCCTTTTGATACCTAGTAAAGATGATAAAAACGGGCAGATGAGAATGCTGTTGAGGCTTGGTACTGTTCCGATAAAAAGAACATTTCGTAACATCAGTCATTACTTGAAGCATGCTACTGTGTCCCAAATAGATAGGATTTTGGCCTTGGCAAAGACCTGTGGAGGACAACATGCTTATGGGGTACATGACAGGTGAAGAACGTGCCAAACATGACATAGTGAAGCACAGAACAGCTCCAGGCGGGGGCAGCCACCCTCTGGGTCAGTGGCCCACCTTTGGCAAGTTTCTAAGTGGGAGCTGAGTTTCACCTGACCACACCCGGCTGCCTGCCCTTTGACGCATTTTCTAACTACCCAGACACGTGACAGAAGAACAATTTCCATGGCATCTCCATCACTAGGAATTGCTACTGCATTCAATAAAGATGACATAATAAAAGAACAAAAGATTCTGGACCGCTACCTCTCTAATTAAGTTTTATATTCCTAGCTTCAACCTCATTTCATTAGGAAATAAATACTGAAGATAAAACTACCCATCTGAAAGGGAAAACAGAAGAAAATCCTACATGAGAGTATAAAGAAAATACATTTTTAAGTGTTTACAAGCTAGAAACACTGGTACAATTCAATAGCGAACAGAAAATTATACAATATGTAGGAGTAGTTTCGGTGCTGTATGGTTTCATTGGTAAAAATACATTCCCAAAACACTAAGAAGAGGAATTAAATATCTCCTCAGAGTTTAAATACATTTCATACATCAAACTTTGGCTGCAACTGATTTATTTAGCTTCATTTTTTATTTATTTAATAAATAAATAAGTTTAATAAATAAATAATGCCAATACCTTCAGGATGTGTCTAACTGACTCTCCAGGGACCTTTAATATCGCTACTTAAAGCCTGAGCAGCAAGGAGGGGAAAAGAATGTATACTTCCTGCTATGGTTGATATCCCAGATAAATTCTGCTTCTCCATTTTTATCTCAATTTAACAGTCATATTGACTAACAGTTTATCAAAAGTCCTCCTGAAGGTCAGAATTCTGAGTTTTCAATATTATATACTGTTTAATCTAAAATGGGCTTAATTATACTAAACTGATTATACAAATAACATCTTCTAGCATGCCTATAGTTAGGGACCATTTGTCATTTCCCTCTAGGGAAATTACTGGAAAAATAACTTTGTCTTTCAGTAAGGAATATAAAATTTAAAGTATCTGAAATATTTAAGTATCATTATTTAAGGATATGTCTGAAAAATTCAGGAAAATTATAAATACTATCTTCCTTTATCATATTAATTTCATTTTTAAAAGTCCTAGACAAGTTTACCATACTTTTGTATTTAAGATATAACAGTTGTTAATTCCTATTTATAGCATTTTAAAAGAGCATTTTATGAATGGCATTGTTGCTTTCTTTACTACTAATTCCCAAAGAACATATTTCTAAATATAAGTAAGGTTATATTCCCAATTTCAACAAAGTAACAGGTTAAGCAGCATGTTTCTTTAATAACACACGTGCACGTACGCACACCCACAGAAGCTTACACAGACATCCACATATGCACACTTACATTATAGGTACTACACAACAGGTAGATATTATGACATTTTATTCTTCCAGCAACAGGAAAAAGTAGGATATTCTTATCTTCATTGTACAGGTAAAATGGAGGGACAAAAGTTTAATGCTCTGTTGTAGGTCCTGGTGCCAGCGATGGTCAATTATAAATTCAAACCAAGTGGTCTAACCCCAGAGCCAAAGGCAAATTCGGCACGGTTAGTTGGTGGGGTGGACCAAATCAGCAAACACAAAACTGTGCTGAGCAACAGACAGAGTGTAACCAAAAGGACACAAAAGTAAGCTTTTCGTGTATACAAAATTGTGTATGTAGTATGACAGCAATTCTGGCTTTAAAAATGCACAGAAATAAGACTAGGAAGAAATGTGCCAAAATGTTAACATTTATCACTCAGCAATGTGGTCTGGGTTCATCTTTTCCAATACTTTTGTGCTTTTAAAATTTGACAACAGGTATGAATCTCCTATACTATTAGGCAACAAAAAGAAAAGACAAATGCAAAAGCCATCTGACCCTCTACAAGGATGCTCCATCTTGTCAGGGCCGCCTCCGTTCTAGCTGTTCAAATGAGAGCTCTAGAAGAAAAGATCGCTGCGAGGAAGGCTATTTGTTCCAAAAAAAATCTAAGAGAACTCCTACCACACCACACTGCTGGCAGCAATGCATATATACTCTAATTTTAAAAATAACTGTTTAAAATAAACAAAAAAGAAGTAAAGGAAAAGCAGTTAGTAGACTACTATACAGTACTACTAGGAATGTAAAGAAGGGTTTTAATCACTGGGACGTGATTAGTTAAGTAAGCTAAAATGTGCTTTTAAAAGCTTAAACTAATAAACACATTTAGTTACATACTTAAAGATTTCCCAGGGAAAACAATGAGATTCTATGTTTAACATAATATATCACTGCCTATACTTTTAAGCTAAGCATTACTTGTTCTATATTATGCTCCATACATAAGATCTTTGAAATTGAAATTTCCATGTTCTCTCTGGAACTTAAAACTTTCATTTCAATCACCTCCTACTATTTACTGCCCTGCATTGCTTTTCTGCTGTTCAAATAAAAGAGGATTTTCTCTTTTTCCAATGTTTCTGAATCTGAGACAAAAATGGTTTCTTTATCTTGCTCACATTGTGCCTCATGAATTATATAGAATCACTGATTTTTTTTTCTTTTTTTGGCCTACTATCTGTATGTCCATCCCGATGTATATATTGTCTTCAATTACATTCCTTTAAAGATTGGCCAACCACAAGCATTTAGCCTAGTACAACACTTAGAAAAAGCCGCAATCAAAAATAAAAGAAGCAACCTCGTTACATTTCAGGGCTTTTTTCCTCATATGAAAGATTTTTAATTTCTAGGAAATCAAACGTACACACTTAATGTTGGGGTCTATCTCATAACACTTGTTCTTACCAGTGTCCATTTGCCAGACGTACACAGAGCCATCTGAACATCCCACTACCAGGTAATCGTCAGAGGGCCTCCACTTAATCACCTGAATGGGGAAGAGGTGACGGGAGGCCAGCATGATGCACTTCTTCTCTCGCAAACTTAGGAGGCCTACGGAGTGGTCGCTGGCTACAGAGCAGACGCAGTGCTGCACTCGCGCCTAGAAAGAAGCATACACCTTAATTATATTGAGATTAAACCCAGAATAAAATGGATCCTATCCTCAGCAACTTAAACCAAAATTAATACACAGTTACTACTCCTGAAAACCAACTGTAATATTTGGTTGTGTTGAAAATATGTTCCTTTGTATTATACATAAAACACCCAGTTCAATCATCACAACATTAAAATACACACACACACTAAATTCATCCTAGATTAAGTGTGGGAAAGATGCTTTGGGAAATCTGCTGTTAAGTGTGAAGATAACCTTACTAAAATGATTACTATATACGAGCAGGCAAAGCTGGAAAAAAAAAATTGATCTGTTATTATGTGTCCTCTTTCCACAGTATGAACTTGCCTTTGTTTGCTGCCGCGGCTGCTTTCTATGGCGCTTCTTTCTGTTTGTGACTGTCATTTAGACCCATGCTCTTCCCTGCCCCTTTGCTCAAAAACAATACCCTCCCGGTGCCTCTGCCACAATCGTTTCTGAAGAAGCACAGATATTTTGTATTATCTGTAGATATGCTTCACAGCTTCTGTCTATAATGTCAGCAGGTGCTCCACCTCACCAACACACAATAGCCAATTAAAATATTCTGCTATGTATTTTTTGCTCATCTCTAGTTTTGGCCCTTCAATTCCCTTTTAGAACAAGATGAAATATAAATAATGGAACAAAGATGGTAAAGATTTTTCACCAGCAACAGAAAACACAACCCACGACCTGGAAAATTAAAAATTTAAGTCTTTAACTTTTTCAGACAATTGATAAGCAATTTAAAACTTAACTTTTTTAGTGATCTATTAGATCATGCTTTTAGTTCATACTGAGATGAAACCATATAAAAACAACTGTCTTAAAATTCACAATTGTATGTGTTGTGGCTATTTACTGAAGATGAGGCTCATGCACTGCATCTACGCTATCTCCCCTATGATACCCAAAGGGGACGCCTCTCAAACTTCACCCGGCTGGGCTTCTCTTAAGTAAAACAGCCTGTTCTTAGCTAAAAAACAATAGTTCACTGACTGGTATATCTCACCAAATAAGAAATGTTGACAGATAGCAGACTTTTTTAAAAGGGAGGGGGTGGCCAAATGTACAATGGGAAACACAAGATACAATTGTTTTTACCCACAGAACTTCCAAGAACTTCTAACACACTGATGTGAATATAATTACCAGTACAAGAAGGACAAACTATTACTTGTCTCCAAGTTTATGTGACTATGGTAATCTTATAAGAACTAGTTTTTAAAAAATTTTTATGGTCTTTTTGATTCCAGGTAGAGGGGAATGGAGGAAGAGAGGGAGAGAAACATTGATGAGAGAGAAATGTCAGTCAGTTGCCTATTGTACATGCCCCAACTGGGAACAAGCCACAACCCAGGCATGCGCTGTGACTGGGGGTCAAAGTAGTCATCTTTGGGTTTGCAGGATGGTGCCCAACCAACTGAGCTGCACTGGCCAGGGCAAGACCTACATGTTGAAGAACACACTTTGGGGAAAACTGCTATAAATGGTTCCTTTTATGTTTTAGTTACTAAAAAACTTAGGTCTCAATTTTCTATCCATAACACACAAGATCTTGGACATACATTTCTGAATGTGGAGTCTCAGTGGTCTCATCTACTTCCTTTTCTCATGCTTTTTTCACCATGGTTAGCTTTATTTTTAATCCTACTCAATATGTTTTTTTTTAAACCTAAAATCAATTTTTGAATGAAGCAAAACATTAATAAAACACAGATATTAATATTTAACTATTTACTTTTTTCTTAAATTTAGGTGTTTCAGTTTTTTGTTCTGTGTTTGCTTAATTTGTACTTTTTGTTTTATGAATGTTTTACATGCTATAATAAACATAGCAGGTGTTTATTAATTTTAAAAGTTAAAACTAAGTTCAGAAAGATCATGTTATAAACCTTCATTAAAACATCATCTAGAAGTTTCTTAAAGAAGCATTTGTTAAGCTTACTTCATGTTTCCCAGTAAGCATTCAACAAAAACACACAACATTTCTTTCTTTCTTTAAAAAGATATATTAAGCAAAGGGTAGATGACATGACACACAAAAATTAGCTTTATAATTAAGCAATAAATTAAAATAAAGTGACAAACTACAACATATTCACTTAAATATAGGCAATGTTAGAATAAAACAGGGTAAAATATATACCATAATAACATATGCCTTTATTTTCAGTTATTTCACACTACATAAAATATTTGTGAGTTTCACTAGACAGGCCCTGCTAAACTAAGATAATACAATGAATGCTTTGCATTTCTACAGATTACCATTAGTGCTGACTTTGTATTTATCAAATATATCCATCATTTGACTTACAAAAAAGGATGGTATGCTACATTAATGGTTAACTACTATTTCCAATTTTGCAACACTCATCTGCCAAAAGGTGGTTATTTAATGTAGTTCTCTCATCAGAGGGAAAAAAAAAATCTAACAGTGATCTTTTTCTTTATGTATGATTAACTAAAAGAATATTTCCTTTAGTCTTGGGTTCTAAACTTACCAGAGTGACCACTGCACAAGTTATGTAAATGTCTAATGATTATGTTGTACACCAGAAACCAATATAATATTGTATGTCAACTGAAACTGTAAAATAAAAAAATAGAGTAATTCCTAAACAGCATTACTTTTTCATCTATTTACATACTTTATCAAGCACCGATCTGCCACAGCACGCACAATACCTGTCACTACTTTTTATTCTGCTACTTAGACTCACAAACTCTCCGAAATCTTCTTTAAAATAAGCTAATTCTTAATTAAAGCCATACTCCTGAGCTAGCCTACTTGCCAGTCCCAAGTCCACTGTCATTTCACTAACGCTCACATACTCTCTTGTCCTTCCTTTGCAAAAAGCAGAGAAAATGAGGCATGAGTCAGGGTGAAGTTTGTTTCTCCTTTTTTTTTTTTTTAAAAAAAAAAAAGGTGAATTTTTACCAATATACTGTGTTCAGTGTTCCTCAAATTAGTATCTGTTGGTAGACTGTGCTACCTGGGATCACGGAAAACTGACAAGTATCTCTCCCTGTAGTTTATAACTACAGACATTAAACAAACAAACAAACAAAAAAGGCTTCCCCATTCCTATGAGAAACTTGACCTTCTGCATCAACGCCTGTAAGTTCACTGTCAAAGTTTATACCCTCCCCATGTATGTGCAGATGGATAATTTCAAAAATTCAAGAAAACACAAGCCATCCTCATAAAATGATTTAAAAGCTTTATGTTATCTCTCTTATTAGTTAAAATAAAGGACATACAAACCGAATATTAAATAGTATCATAGGATCTGCTTTAAAAAGCAGATGTAATTTTCTGAAGGGAAACAAAGAACTACAATTCCAAAAATTCTAGCTTTTTATTTCCACGTGATGGATTTTCTCTAACACATATATTTACATAAATGTTTTAAAGAATAGTCCTGTTCTTCTTTCATATAGTGCAATATTGATGAAAATTGGCAAATGACATGATCTACCCACAAAGAAAAGATCTAAAATAAAAATGATACATTGCCCCTGTAAACGAAAATAGGCATCTGAAGAGTTAACTCTGGCTTTCCTGTAATAAGCAACAGTCTGGAAATAGCCAAAATAATCAAAACTGAAAACAAAAAAAAATCAATATTACTAAGCCCAAGAAAGCATAGTTATTAGAGGTACTTAACTCACAAGAAAAGATGGTTCTCTGCTTTTTAAATATGGATTAAAATAAATCTAATTTTTCTTCTTTCAAGAAAATGCTAGTCCAAATCGTGTGAAGAAAACTGGCCTACAGTGGAAATGACCCAGTACAGTAAAACCTCATTAATTCTGATTCCACTAATTAATTCTGAGTTGATGGTTACCTTTGCAGGCTGTGTGAAAACAAATTAATGGTATAAACAAAGCAAATGTCTAGCCTATTTAAATGTAAAATGGAAAAAGACCATTCTCAAGCACCACTTTGGTATTAATTTTAATTCAACAATGGACGGAGTAATGATAAATAATTCTCAGCTATCTGTTAAATGAAGGCACTTAAAAGATTTGCTAAAACACAATTAACTTAGTTTATTATCTACACTCAAAATTATTAAAGAAGCACTTCTTAAAGACTATTTTATAACTTCTATCTCCCTTGGATTTAGGCCCAGCTTCCCCACAAATGAGTGGAATTATTATTATTACTACTCTTATGATATTCCAAAGATCTTGGTTATTGAACATTTTCTTCACCAACAATGACTGATTCTATAATTTGATCAATTCCATTGTATTTCACTTTCTTTCATTTCAACTGGAAAACATTACTTAACATCAGGGCATTATAACAAAATCATGTGTAAGACATTTAAATTGTGTACTTAAAATAACAAAACAACTAAAAAATGTGAACCTCTATCTTTAAATTATTTGAAAAGCATTTATGCTCCAAACTTTGTTGCTCACACACCCATTCATTAAAAAGCTCTGTAATGTATGCTATATGTTTATTTATAAGTTACATATGAACTGTGCCAATAAATCATGTATACTGTAACACATGAAAAATATTATATATATTTTAAAAGGGTGACTCAAAGTTTAAATGAACAAATTCAAGATGAAGCTAACAACTTTAACAACTTCATGTGAGCATTTGTCAATACCTCAAAGTACAACAGATCTTTTCAAAGGTTTTATTGTTACAGTAAATATAAATATATATTTTACATAATTATGATTTTTTGGATGCCTTTCTGCCAGATTGATCAAATGATCATTGTTTGAACCTCATAATGTGGCCAATGAAAAGATCTAATTTTCACTGGAAATATCTTCCATCTTTATTTCCTCTGCCCTGGGTTACGACTTATGCAATATAATCTGCAATTCCCAGAAGCACACACGTTTTACCTAGAGGCACACCCAGTGAGAGCAAGCAGTCACTGTTGTTGTGGGGACAGGCCCCTGCTTCCCCCAGGTGACATGCG